CATTTTATAAAATTTTATATTTACTATGGATATCCACTATCGAAGCACCCGCGAACATCAAAATAAATAATTTTAATATGAATGTTTTTGCTGTGTAATTTCAGGGTTAAAGACAGAATTCAACCGTTTTTATTTGAAGTTCACTCGTGTGTTTTAAATTTAAATAAGATTATTTTTAATTAAATTAATTTTAAAACTCGTAAAATGATAAATAAAACCACTGATTTCATTTTTACAATCTTTTTATTTTCAATGTAGCACCTAGTAAATTTGTTTAGAAGATCCTCTTACAAAAACTGTTCCAAAAATTGTGGATAGTTCAGGAACCGACTTGCGACTACTTCTATAAACAAAAATTTATTACAAATATTATCAAATACTACGAAATAATAAAAAAAAACTATTGTTTATTTGAGCCTCGAGAAATTAAACCAAATATTAAACTATTTAAACTTTTAAAAATAATGAAATCGTTACACACAAATATCTTATTTATAATTAAATATAACGAATTTATTAAATAAATTAAAATATATAATGTACATAGATCTAATATTGTTATTTTTGGAAATATTCAGAGACGGAATGCTTTACAATGGATTTGCACTGAAATCGTGTGATACATTTCTCCAAATGTCGTCTCAAAATAAAATGTCTATAGAAAAAAAAAGTTATTAAAAACTTTAATTATACTAGGCATTTTTGTTTCTAATTTGCTATTTTATTAAAAACCTATATAATTCGGCAAGCATCAGTAATTAATACAATATAAAACAAATTAATATTACAATATTATTTTAGTTGTATGAAATGTATTGAAAAATTTAATGGACAATATTAGTTATAAATTTCAGTGTAAATTTTATAAAACCTATTTATCTAACATATATAGCAATGGCAGTACTATGTCAATATCCTACACGAGTCGAGCCCCTACCAAGGGGCTCCCCCCTAGCCGGGCCGTGGATATACTAACGTAGATGCCACGGTCCGGTTGGGCGTAGAACAGCGGGGTTTAGTGGGTAGTCCGGTCTTGTTCCCTGGCCGGGAGTCCCACACGAAACCGTCCCTGCTGCCCCCGCAGCACGGACGGCGAAGTGTATAAACGCATTCCCCGCGTTAACAAAAAAAAAAGTACTATGTCAATATTACGTAGTATCTATGGAAGTAGAAAAAATTATATATGAGAATTATCAAATATATGACAGACATATGAAATAAACTAATATATAAACGGTTAAAACACTCACATCTTACTAATATCACAAATGCAAATGTTTAGATGGATGGTTGTTTGTTTTAAGGTATCTACGAATATAGTCTGGAAGAACACATAGGCTACTAATTAAGTTTTTTTTTTAAATTTCGCGCGGACGGAGTCACGGTTTTATTTGTGACTGAGTAGTCACTGTTTGTCTTGAAGAGGCAGCTTCACCGGGCTTGAGGGCGCAGATAGCGCTAAGCCTGAACCTCGTTTAAGAGTAACAAGACTTGAGGGCTCCCTCAGGAGCCTCGGGCTGTCACTTCATTATTGTTACCGTATTGAACGGAGTCACGGGCGACAGCTAGAATTATATATTTGTCCGGTGTCGTTCAGTGAGCGAAAAGCAGCATCCGCAAAATTATACCAGTCTCACTCACCCTAATGAAGATCCCTCAATGGGCTTGAAACTTGAAAGTTGGTGCTGACACCGTATGAATATATGTTAGTGTTTTAGCAGTTTATGGATTAGTTTATATGGTTTGAATAAATTAATAGACATATAAAATGAAGTGAACTCTGTTATGATTATAATCTCACTAGGCATATTATAAACAGTATTTTGTTTATTGAAAGAATCTGATTACACAAGTCTTTGTCAGTAAAGTATAATATGTAAAAGTATAGAAAACGCGTAATTCCTACATACAATTCCTTTAATATTCAAGAAAGTGGACAGTATGTATTGAAGACATAGAAATTTCCTAAAACTAATGTTTTTATTAGAATTATTTCATACGTAAAACATATTACAGTACACAAAAAACTGAGATTTTGTCCTATTTTTTTTTAATATTTTCATGACACTCTAAAAATTAAACTTGTAACATTATAAGGAATTGTGTTCATCACTTGATTAATACAATTACTATGTATGTTGACTCATTCTTTTCAACTAAACAGTCAATTAAGCAAAATAATATTCAAAGAAATAATGATTCCTTATGAACATTTAGAAGACAAAGAAAAATATTTAAACTGCTTTTATTTTCATAAATTAGATAAAAAAAGCGGTTCAAATTAGTTAAAACCGGCTTTAACATAAACCTGGCAATGTACATATGTAAAATTAGCTTTAGTATTGTATGTACTATGTTGAAAGATTAATTCTAATAAAACATATGATAATTACACAAATATACTAATGGCATAACATGAGTTTTTGTGCAAGCATAGTCTATAGGCAAGGTGACAGCTAGGATATGTTACGTTTTAATATATAGAATCATCTTAATGTCTAAAAAATCATACATTTATTAAATATGTTATGTCATTTCTAGTTTACGTTTTTATAATAAACATGTGTCAAAAAAAATTATATAACAAAATATTGCAGTTATTCTGGCAAAATTTTTTCTTATCTTATTGGAGCAATTTTTTTTTTAATACAATATTTTAAGTGACTTGAATTGGCATAATTTCAAAATGTAAATCCAGTTAAAGTTAATAAATTTCTATAACACATAAATAATACTGATTTTATGAATACTTATTATAATAAATATAAATTATATTTTGGCAAGTAATAAAATTAAAAATTCACAAAAATTACATTGTTATCCAAACTAAAGTTAGAAATCATTTGGTTGGAAATAAATGCATTTCAATTCGATATTTTTTTATATTAACATCACAGACATACCTGAATAACTAAATATATAATAAATTATAAGGTCTGAAGTTATCATTGGCTTTGTATGAAGTAACTCTGTCGTTTCAATTGCCTATACAAAGAGATATACTTCCCCGCAGCTGAAGTTCTTGGAACTACATACTGTTTACAGAATAATTTTGGATCCTGAGCCTTCTCAGAAAGTTCACCGCACTCAAGAGCTCTCAAGAATGCCAGCACAAATGTAAAACAATTATGTCTCTCTTCATTATATCTATGAGCTTCCCAAAGAGGACTAGAGCTTATCTGTAATTTGAAATTGCTTTTAAATAACCAAATATTTTGGAATAGACACTCTTAAAATATTGCACAATAAATAAGTAAATAGCCCACCTTCAAGAGAACACTATCCCATATTTCATTCCACAATTCGTCAAATTGTTCCAGCATCAAACACTGGTCCCAGTGTGCGCTGTTGTCACAGTTGCTCCATTTCTTTGTCACAGGGTCAACACCCCAAATACCCTCCTCATTAAACTCAATGACACACCCGTGAGAGTTAGTGACCCCAATGTGCAAGTCTTGCGAGTTGTAGTAGTCACTGAAACATTTTCAGCTTAACTTAAGCAATTATGACTAAAGGAAATGACTCAACACATACATATCGTGTTAAATTAATACTTTTAAGAAATAAATTTATACTTACTTGAGAAAATCACCTTGAGTAGGCTTCATAACTATCGCTCTTGGATGTTGAGATGCTTTTACAAACGGATATGGAACACTGAAAAAGAAATAGGGCGCATAGCAACAAACTTTCTACGTCAATTATATGGTCTTTAGTTAACGTAAAACGACTTACCGGAACGGTAGAAGCTTGTAGTCATACCGATCAAGTTTTTGTTTGCAAACTGGGCATTGTTCCGGAATAATAGTACAAAAAACTTTGTGATCACAATGGTGGAAACAAAGGATACCCGGATCCATTTTAACACTCAAAATAACACAATATTATCAATTAAACCTTTATAAAATTATTGACAGAAATAATCTAAGGTTATTCAGGTCCACTTTAATATTAAGTATTTTATGACTATAACAGAATAATCGGCAACATAAAGGAACTAACTCTCGCTAACAATACTATTGTTCTACAATTCTACACCTAATTTCTACTTGCACCGTCTTAACTCGTTTGGCAGGACTTTTAAATAACGTTCATAACACAGACGAAAATGAAATTTTCAGTAAATTTGTTATTTTTCTCTATGTGTAGCTTAGACTTATTATTTCTTTTATGAGCTGTTTTAACAAAATTTTTGTTATTTGACCAATTGTGCCTCAAACAATTTATTATATTTAAGATATTGCAATATTTTATATATTTTTTTCAAAACAAATTACACCCAGGATTGGTTTTGAACGTACCTTTCAAGTTGCATCTAACATGACATTTGCCAACATATGATCAAGTTTAAAACATTTTCATTGGTTAGGCTGAGATTAAGTGTCTTGTGATTGGATGCCAAAGGACAATGAAATTATTGCTTAGAATGGCGGGAGAATTTAAAACATACCGCAAAAAGGAATCTGTGATAAAATGACTACCTAATAGATGAATATTTTATCAATGTGTAACTTAACACCTACATATGAAAAAAGTTTATTGAAATGATTGGATAATATTTTTCACAACAGGAATTGTAGAAATAAATAAAGGTTTTTCTTTAGTACAGAAAATATATTTTGTAGCAAGCAGTAATGAAAATTCTTTAGAAATATTCACTTTTAAGCTTAAGAGTTCAATGAATGTTCTGGACATTAGGATTTGGTCAATAAATTGTGTGTCGGTGTGTATTGTGTGTTTACGGGTTGCCATAGCAACGATTGAATTGATAAAAATCGACACCACACCTCGACCGTGAGACCTAGTTTATACTTGTGCCGAGTTTTGGACACATCGTTTGACTTAACATACAGCCTAATTTTACGTTTTTATATAGTGAAATTTGAATAATATTTGTTCTAAAATGTGTTTAGCAGTGATTAAAGCGTAATCGTTGATAAAATAGAACACAGAATAAGTAATGTGCTTATTTAAATAAGTTTGTTTTTTGATATACCATAATGTTTCTCAAGAATGATTTAGAATTTCGAGCGTTGTGTTGGACGCTAGCACTCATACCAGTGGTGTCTGCTGGCATCGCTTGCCTCAGCAACCCGTGTCTGCACGGCATATGTATCGATGACCTCAACAGGTAATTATTTTTGCAATAGATATTAAGTACATTTTTTAATATTAAGAATATCTTGCAAACGAACTATAACAAATGTTATAGGTAACAACACTTTTAAGGGAAATTTCACATAAAATGCCATAAATTACAACTTCTGAGTCACAAAGGGTTGTGGAACCCTTCCCTATAAAGTAGGTCATCTTATTATGTATAAAAAGCAATTTTAAAATGACTTGGAAGCTATTTGACTTACTTTATTTATTTTAAAATGTCAGATAAAAATTACTTGTATGTTATAAAAATTATAAAGGGGATGAACAAATTTGATATGGAGATTTAATATGTAAGAAACATTTGTTAGGTTGATGTAATCGAACAAATTATTTTTTTTCGTCCTAATTTTTTTAATCCTAATCTGTAATTGCCATGTTGAAACATTTAAAAAAAAAAATTATCGCTGAATGTAGGTTAAAGTATTAAGGTTGAACAGCTTAAAAAAATTGAATACTGTGGTGAACACGCAAAATTGAATGATTTCGATGATGATTTTTGATGTACTTGGTTGTAGTCCATAACCCAATCCAAATAAAAAGTGTATAAATGTGTGTATGTAAATGTTAACTCTTAAAAATTTAATTTATTTAAAAATATTTTGTTTTTCCAAATGTAACGAAGTACTTTAAGTGGATAATCTATATTGGAGGGTGTTAACACGTATACAATTTAGTACTTACCCTGGTTTGTAACCAAAGAATCCGAGATAGTGCGGTACACGATGTAACTTTAGAACAACTTTAGTGTAACTTAATACAGGATTATCCGGGCATCAATACAATAGCTTAGTGTTTCCATCAGTCGGAAGTGTTATATTTAATTTATCATAGTCTTCCCGTAATGTGGAACACAAAATTAAAGGCTATTTCTGTCTTTTTAACCAAGTTTCTGACAGAAGTTGTACACAATATCGTAATCTATAGGTACAAAATATTCTAGAACTAAAATCCTCTGTTCTTTTTTTCAAAAATATTGAGGTTTGGCAGGAAGGTGTTCCACAATTTTATTCTTATAGACTAAATAGACTAGATATATATATATATATATTTGTACAGAAGGGCCCAGCAGCACACGTACGAAGCGATTTGATATATGCTGTGCTGTTTGGGCAAACCGATTGAGGTTAGGTTACATTGTTATATTTCAGTACCTACATGTGCTACTGTATAGATGGGTACACTGGTGTACACTGTCAAACCAACTGGGACGAATGCTGGTCGGGTCCCTGCCAGCACGGCGGCACCTGCCTTGACGGCATCGCCTCTTACAACTGCACATGTCCTGAAGGATTCATTGGTAATTATCTACTATATACAAGTTAATTATATGAAAAAAATCTTTGATTATCAACCAAAAATCTGATTAACTGTACTCCTATGACACTCAGGGGACCCCTCTCACTTGTCAAAATCGGTATAGTCACCCCCAAACTCCTTGTTTAAAATTATGTTAATAATGCTTTCTTCTTCAAGGTGATAATTGCGAGACGAATTTCAATGAATGTGAATCGAACCCATGTCTAAACAACGGTACATGTATCGACATGACGAACGAGTATGTCTGCCATTGCATGCCCGGCTTCTCCGGTGACCATTGCGAGGTGGACGCCGCGGTGTGCGATGGTGACGAGGTGCGATGTCACAACGGTGGACAGTGTGTTGAAGGACCTGGGTATAAGTTTTATTGTAGGTGCTCGCCAGGTCAGTGTCATATTATTATTGTTAACATCCAGCTACTGCTTTGAAGCTTATTTATTTTTGACACATTTTCATCTTTGTATCTTTGTACAGGCTGGGCGGGTAAGTTCTGTGAAGATCAAATAGACGAATGTGAATCTAATCCATGTCAAAATGGAGGAATGTGTATTGATATACACGCGGATTATATGTGTGCTTGTGCTTATGGTAAGCAACATATTTATTACAGTTCAATGAATTATGGACTTTAAGTTTATGAATCTGAGTTTAAATTTGGCTAAACTCTATATTTGCAGGATTCACAGGTAAAAGTTGCGAAGTTCAGATAGAGTTCTGCGATGATAATTCTTGCAGCAATGATGCTTTGTGTGTTGTGGAGGACGACGTTAGAGTTTGTTATTGTGTACCCGACTACCACGGGGAAAGATGCGAATTGCAGTACGATGAATGTTTACTCGGACCAAGGTATGATGCTAGAAATTTCAATCATCAAATACGTATATGAACTAAAAAAACTATTTTATATCTTAACTAGCTGTCATCCGCGACTCTGTCCGCGCGAAATTAAAAAAAAAACTTAGTGTTCTTAGCGTAGCCTATGTGTTCTTCCAGACTATGCTCTACATCTATGTTAAATTTCATCAAGATCCGTTGAACCGTTCATGAGATACCTTCAAACAAACATTCATCTAAACATTTGAATTAATAATTATTATTCATTTATTATCCTTATTTTTAATATATTACATTTCATATAAAAAATAAAAAAAATATACAAAAAATATTAAAAATAGAGCACCACCGGCTGCGGAGTCCCATAACACAAACAAACCACTGGTCAGGGCTGCAGAGACAGGAACCTTCTAACGATGCGCGCGGTTTCTAGGATAACTGCCTTTAACTAAACTAATAATATTAATAAGATTTATTTAATTTTCAGATGTATGAATGGCGGTACTTGTATAGATGGAGTTGATAACTTTACCTGTTCCTGTCCACCGAATCTTACTGGCACGTTATGCGAATGTCTAATTATAAATGAGGATCATATCGATTGTGAATATGTTAGTCCTACAACATTGTATAATATAACAGCGTCAGTGCACACTACAAATACTGAAAAAATAACTACAGAAGTTATTTCAACTGTTCCAACAACGATTAACAATACTTCAAATGACTTGACATCTCAAAGTGAACCTTGGACCACTACTATAGTAGATTTTACTTCAAGTACAGAAGCCATATCGCAAGCAATAGGTGAAAAAACAAGCAGACAAGAAACAACTACACTTTCATATTCAAATACATCTGAAACCGAAGAAACTACGACAAGTACTACTGAAGTTTTCACATTAGTACCACAAACACAAAAAACTATAAGTTCGGAGGATTTTAAAACAGAAAGTACGTGTAAAGACACTTGCGATAAAGTACCTGAACATACTTTAACTACTTTCAGCGAACTTGAAGCGACATTGTTCAACAATCAGACATCAATAGCAGTTACATATCCAACAAAAGTAACCACTGAATCCCAAAATCAAACTACAACAGAAATAACTACTTTAACTTCTACGGAATCAACAACTAAAACTACAATTGAAGATATAACAATTCCAACAACGATTTCAAACAAGATAGATACTACAGAAAAAATGTTCACAGATGTACCAACAGAATATTCATCAACAGATGCTTCTGCTTATACAACTGAATCAGTTGAAACCACAACATTATTTGATAATGCAACTCACGTTTACACAACTGTACAATCAGAATGCACAGACTCCATTTGCAACAACCACGGAAGCTGCGCCAATACTATACACGGTATTAGAGTAAGTAAGCATTTTCACAACTTCTATAAAACTAATATCTTAATACTTTGTAACAGTAAAACAATTTTCAATAATTTTGTGTTATTTCAAGTGTCATTGCTTATTCAACTATGGAGGAAGATTCTGTGAAGAGAAATTAAGAATAACAACTGCTGCTTTCGGAGGGAATTCATATATAGTACATCGTTTAATCAACACAACATCGATTAGTATAGAATTCAGTGCAAAAACATTAATCACCGATGGTCACATAATGCACGTAGATATAGCTAGTGGGGCGTACATGGAATTATTTTTAAATTCAGGATTATTAAAATTTAAATTTTCTTGTGGCTACCAAACAATGCTATTAAGTGAATTAAAAACTTATGTCAACAAAGGATATCAAATGAAGATAGAAACAAGGTAAGGTAGAACAAAGATTAGTGATGTACGAGTTTTATTTTTAATACCCACAATTCTATTCTATTCTGTTCTCAGATTAGATTTATATTTAAATCAGCAACAATGTAATGCAACTCTTCATTTGAACGATACAGTCGCGATGAGCGGTGGACAGATTGCTAATATAAGTATAGTAGACCATGATATTATGCTATATTTCGGTATTGTACCTGACAGTAATTATACCAATAATAAACCTTTTATTGGATGCATTAAAGATTTGAAGGTAATTATGAAAAAAATAGTAAACGAACTATATGATTTTATATTCAAAGTTTGAATGTTACAAATTGCATTCTTCAATATGGCTTTGACTATTTGTTAGGTAAATAACAAGAGTCGGGAAATATTTGGTGAAGCATTTAATGCTGGCGAAGTGACAGAATGTTCGTCTCTGTCGTGCTTGTCTGGACCCTGTCTCAATGGCGGAACTTGCAATGACCAAGGTGATGGTTACTCTTGCTCTTGTGCTAATGGGTATGTTAGCTATTTCACAATTTGAAACGTTGAATTGTATAATTTTATTCCTATACCTAACCGCTTTTAATATTTTTATAGTTGGATGGGAGAGAACTGCAAGGAGTCAATTTGTGAACACAACCCGTGTGAATCTGGAGGCAGCTGCGTCAGGTACCCGGGGAGCGGGTTCCTTTGCCTTTGTCCATACGGCAAACACGGCATCTTTTGCGAATATAGTAAGATATTGTTATTTATAACTAAACGAAAATTTTGCATCAAATTACTCGATTTAGTCCTTTCCTGAGGTTTAATTTTAAAGGACAACCTTTTTTTATATCATCCGTTTCAGGAATTTCCTGTTTCATTTTGTGTCGTCTCTGTTTATCAGATGTTGAGATAACCAGGCCGTCGTTAGCGCCAATCGCTCCCGGCGTGTCCTCGTACTTGGTGTACCCGCTGTCGGCAGCCGCGCTGAGCTCGGAGCGCTTCGAGCTGCGTCTCCGCTTCCAGACGGCCGACATGGACCAGATCGCGCTACTCGCCTTCGTGGGCCAGAGCGGCCGGCACGGATCTCGCTCCCAACACCTCGCACTCACCTTCGTTAAGGGCTATCTCATGCTCACATGGAATATGGGCAACGGTAATAAACTGTAAAGTCATTTAAAAACAGACAGATTTTTTAGAATGTTGACGTAAATTAATGTGGTTGAACTGCTAGGTCCTCGTCGGGTGTTCACATCGCGCGCGGTGGGCGTGCGGCGCGGCGGGCATGCGGTGCGCGTGTGGCGGCGCGGGCGCAGCGCCGGCATCAGCGTGGACGGCCGCCACAACGTCTCCGGCAATGCGCCCGCTCCGCCTCAGCACGACAAGATGACCTTACTGCCTTATTTATATATTGGTATACCTAACTTTTAGCCAACAGATATCTGCTGGATATAACCTAACCGTGTTTCATCTTTCTTTGACGAGGTCTTTGAATTAGGTGGTCATCCGTCATTTAACTTCGCGGAATTGCCGCACGACCTGCCGCTGCACAGCGGATGGCGCGGGTGCGTGTGGGACGTGAGCGGGCAGGCGGCGGGCGGGCGCGCGGCTGCCGGCCGCGGCGTGGGCCAGTGCGGCGTCGCCCAGTGCACCGCCAGCTCCTGCAACGCACCGCGGGGACTCTGCATACACTCGCCAGCTACTTACGGGTCAGTTATACCAGAGAGACATGTAACCGGCTATATGGTATAGGTTTATGAGTGTTCATAAATGCAGATGCATCTGTAACGAGGGGTGGTTCGGGCCAACTTGCGCAAGCGCGCAACCGGCGTGTGGGCCGCGGTCGCGCTGCCGCGGCAACTGCGTGCTCAGCGGGGATGGACGTGCTCATTGCGACTGCCCCTACGGCATGACCGGCGAAAACTGTGAACATGGTCAGTGTGCATTAAATTTATAGTCAAGTTGTTAAAATTTCCCACCGGAAAAGTTTAATATTGTTATCTTTTTCAGACGTAATTCCAATAGACGTAATGTTCAGCGGCGTGAGATCGTACCTGCGACTGCTACCGCGGTCTATATCCAGCGTCAGTTTGTCTCTGGAGGCGGAAATAAAGCCGGACAAGGAGCGCGGCTTGCTCATTCTGGTGCAGACGCCTCACTTCTACACGGCGCTGTCATTGCAAGGCGGTCTACTGGAGTACCGATGGACAGGTGAAGTAAAGGAACATTGAGAATACATTGAATTGCAGAATTACATAAGCATTGTGTGAAATGCTTACGGCTTTCTCTACCATGATGTGGATTTAATTTTTATTTTAGATACTGCAGTGTATTGCTAGTATTTAATTTATCTTAGTGTGTTATTTTCAGATCGTCTGTCGGGTCTGACGTCGCTGGTGCGCAGCGGTGTGGTGGCGGCGTTGCGGCGGTGGCAGCGCGTACGTGCCGGTCGCTATGCCGCACGTCTCTACGTGTGGCTGGACGGCGCGCTCAGCACAGAGCCAATGCTCGCACACGCATACCCTCACACCGCCAGCGACGCTGATATCCTCATAGGTAACCTTTAGATTATAAGTGTAAAGCTTTGAAATCGTAGAAGGTAGGGACCGACAGTATTCTTTGTTCCCTATTGAATCTAATTTTGAATTTACTAAGTACCTTTTACAAACTTTGAGGCGCACTATACATACGTTATTAATATGAATTGTTTACGCAGGTGGTGCACAAGATTTATCAACGGTGCCATTTGATGCAATGTCGGGACCTCCCGAGTCGTATTCGGGCTGCATTAGACACCTGCACGTCAACAACGTTCCCTTGCCTTTGGACCAACAGAACATACGAGGTGAGTCTATCTAGCCTTCAGATGTATAATAGTTGATGTCAATGGAAGGTTTTTACATCTTTTTACTTGGTAGACGGTCGCAATGTGGGCGCGTGCGGAGGCGCTGCGTGCGAGGGCGGACGCTGCCGGCGCGCCGCGTGTGACCCGGCGCGTTGCCGCGCACCACACGGTCATTGTCGGCGCTCGCGCTGCGTCTGCGCCGCGGGACGCGCCGGTGAACACTGCCAGACGCGTGTGTATCTTCAAATAGTTTCATGACAACTAAGGAAAGTTGTTAGATATCTTTATTGAAATGTTCTTGTTCAGATATCAATATAACGATTCCACAATTTGGAGGCGACTCGTTGTTGTCATTGCCGAGACGACAGTTGCGACCTCGTGAGCAGCGCCTCGCCGCCGCCGCCACACACCTCGCCCTCAACTTCACCACATCAGAGCCAAGCGGACTACTACTATGGATAGATATGGTAAATGTAACACTACTAACTGTCGCCCGCGACTCCGTCCGCACCGAATTAAAAAAAAACTTAATTATTAGCCTATGTGTTCTTCCAGACTATACCAAATTTCAACCAGTTCCATCAAAACTTTCCTGTTTATAATATTAGTAAGATTAAATACTTTTGTGACCAGGGTATTGACTATCTCGGTATCGGTATGGAAAATGGATACATAAAGTTGGTTTGGTCCTTGCATTGTGACGTCACAGAAGTGGTGAAGCAAGATGAAAAATCTTTACCAATCCGACCTCGAAGACTTTCAAGAATTCTTCCAAACGTCGGCTTTCTAGCTGATGGCGAGTGGCACAAGATTGTACTGGAGTTTGGAAAGAAAAATATCACATTGACCGTCGACAAACATCTAGCGTTCATAGAGGAGTCTTGTGAAAGGGACCAAACTAACAATGTGGACTTGTTTATAGGTAAGAAACATTTTATTTGGTAATACAAACGATATTTTCGTAGTACATATTAATAAAATTAGAGTATCTGTATATATCTGTTGATAATGGAAGTCAATATTTATCTGTATATCTGTACGCATTTATTCTGGAAAAAACTCTGGATCGGTGAGACTGATTTTGAAGGGAAGTTAGGTTACTTTATATTACGATATCCGAGACTCGAATAAACAATAATGTCATGACTTTCTAATTAAAGTGAATATATTTCTAATATATCAAGTTTTTGTATGCAGGTGGAGTAAACGAAGAAGATAATCCAGCTGTGAAAACAATATTTCCGCAAAACTTTAAAGGATGCATCGATCAGATATCAACCCGCGAGGACTCCTTCATTACAAACTACTCTGAGTTCTACAGCGAGAACGTTAACTCGTGCCAACTCTTTCCGACTAATTAATTTCATATACGTGTTCCTCCAGATCCACCTACAGATGTTCATTCATACATAATGTCATTTTTTATTGTAAATGACAACACTTAGGCTACCTCAACAAAAGCTCTGGAGGTTTTTTCGCCTCACTGTTGTGGTTAGATTTACATCTATGCCACAAACCAGGTATTTGAAAATGTATGCCCCAGTTAGACGAAACATGTTTCATATTGTTGGATTAATAATCTCATTCATTTGTTTTTCATTCATATTTTATTCTACACGTCAAAAAAAATTAGCTCCTAAAAGTGGATTTGTTCAACGTTAAATAAGTAATTTGTTTGTATACTTAGTGTTAAGATGCAATACTCAGAGTACAAACATTTTCTAGTCAAATTTTAGTAACACTTCTAAGATATTTTATATTAGGCGAACTATTGATCTTTTAGGTTAAATGTTGTGGGTTTTTAGATAAATAAAAATAAAATTCATCATACACAAAATATAGTTTTATTGATATATTCATGTTTAATAAATTGTATACATAACATCATCAAATATTATATTATAAACATATACATTTCGTTATACGTTACTAATTCAAACACAAATACAATATGAGATGTTATCCCCGTTAACTATATCTGATTAATGTTAGACACGAAGTGCGGGCGCGGCGACCGGACACAAAGCTCTGCTCGTCCACCTCTCCTCTCCTCTCTTCTCCTCGCCTATCTCCCTCTTCCATCTATGTACATCTCTCTCCGATCCATACAAAAGCGACACGAACGCACATTAAGTCGTAGAGTTTATGTTAGGCCTATTTACAGTGGAATAAAGTTGGAATGCTTGACTGCAGCGCGACACAGCTTGCCTTTACGACATTGTACAACACGATAAACTTAGGAACATAGAGTCCTTTACTGTTACAACACGACATCCAACATCGATACAAATTCTAAATAATAAATATTACATACAATAAGCCGTATAAATAAATAAATCGTTCATTGCACATCGTTAATTTAAAAAAAAAACAATTTATGCGACGGCCCCGCCAACCGCCGTCAGCTGCGATGTCAGGGACGAAGTGAATCTCTCTACGAAACGTTGCAACACTTTACATCAAATATATCATCGATAAGCAAGAACGTAGGAATGTCTCTAATAACAGTAATAAACATAAAAATAGAAAATAGGACAAGCGGATCACAGAAGTAAATATTATATATTTACGAAGTAATTAAGCCTAGAAGTGGTGCGCTGCGACGCGCGTCCTGGACGCGGCCGCGCGCGCGACGGCGCCGGCGGACATCGAATGCGATAAGGCCTATGTGTAGTAACAATATCGTTATATACCATATACTATCATTGTTGACACTGACACATCTTCATAAAACTCTTTAAAATATTAAGAACATCGAAATCTAAATTATATATCCCATATGCAATTACGTGCTAAACGCCCTCCAAGCAAATGAATACATGACATTTCACTTATCTACTTTCAAATTATTTAATTTAAAATTATATTTAAATCGAACTCATTTAACAATTATTATATAAATCTATAAAATAACAATTACGAGAGTGGGATGTGAGCGCGTCCGAGCGGCGGGCATCGCGGGCGGCGCGGGCGGCGCTGCCGGCTCGGCGGCTGCACTCTATGCCGGGTGGTAACAATCTCATTAAATTCATAATCTCTACATTTAATAAACAAATTACACTACATTACATAATTTCATTAATAAAAAGGTCATGTCCTATTGATTAAAAGAACAGCTAAAATCGATCATACGCTGATTCGTTACGTCATTAAAAATGATTAATCGGAATATAAAATGATTTGTATAGAATAGCATTAGACACGGGGCGTGCCCGGCGGCTGCGTCACTACGACCGGCGACTTCGACACGGTGTAAAGCATTAAAAACGGAAAATAAAAACAGAAAGCATATATTTTTGTAAAATCAGTCTCATTCGCATAAGGAAGTGATCACAGCACACACACTGGAAACTCGTTGCGGAGCGAGGGGCCACGACCCTCTAACAAAAGACTAATAATAGAGCACCACATGGTCGCTAACTCGCTACACTTAATAAACCTGATAAAAAACATGCAACAGACTAATTGAAAATTTCATTATAAAAATATCAAATGTATGAGAGACATACGGAGCCAAGGTTTTCGATGGAGGTACACGTATTATTAAAAATATAAAATACATATAGTCGGATACAAAGCACGTCACAATTCCCATCGGATATAACATAATGCTAAAGGAAACGATCAGTTCACAGAATAGACTAGATACATAGAGTAAATACAGCGGGACAAACGGGAAATGTGACATAAGTTTACGCAATGGCTTTAGAGTTGTGAGCGCCGAGTGCCGCCACATTGTACGTCAAATACATACATTTTTCGAAAAAATAATTTACATGAAATAAGCAAGACAGCATTACTTCGTGCCAATATCTCATCTCTGATGCAATTGACTACTTATTATATACAATATAAATAACATTTAAGGTACTTTTCAATATGGTGCAAAAAAGGAAGAATAATATTTGTACAAAATAAAATGATTAGCTGTCAACATTGAAGAAATGAATTAATAGCAATAAAAATTCTGTTCCCATCCATACATACATATAGAAATACACAATTGAGGATACATTGTCAATATCTAGATTTAACTATTAAAATATAAATGTGTAACACGCTCCTTACGCAAATACCTAGAGCGCAGAAACGTAAATAGACAAAATTCGTAATATGAAAAAACATTCATCTCATCATCATCATCTCGTGAAGGCCGTCACTCGCCGTCGCGGCCGCCGACTGGCATGCGATGTCTCTTTAACCAAACCTGCTTGCATTTTACGCTTATGTATAACTGACTTACTACACTATTTCATGCGCGTAAAAATATGTTACAAAAATTCAAGTACGAATCGTGTAAGTTCAAAAGAGAAAGTCAGCAGCATCGCTTGCCGTCGGCGACCGCACAACGCTATCCTACTTTGGAGCTCGATAGAGTGTTAATGTGTCGCGCGGTAGGAACCGCGCGACGGAACCGTCATATGGTGGCGAGGGCCCGAGGTCGTGCCGTTGCTAATGCCCGTCACGGCTGCGGATCCACGAGGCGCTGGACCACCATGGCCACCAGCACGGCCAACAGCAGGAAGCCGGCCGCCATGAGCAGCGCCATGCGGCGCGGGGAGAGAGCGCGCGCGGGCTTGGCGCGACGAGGGCGCGGCGCGGCGGCCGGCACTGGCACCAGCACGCGCGCCACCGGAGACCACGCGCCCGCCAGCCCGCCGCGCACCGCGCACGCGCGCAGCAGGTACTCCGCGCCCGGCTCCAACTCGTCTACCGTGAACTGCGTCTCGCGGCCGGCGTACACCTGCACAGACACGCTCACTATAGAATATTTCGCAACAGTTACATAATAAATAATAAACTAAAATCTATAAAATAAAACCTTACAGTTATCTTTAATGTTACAGATATCTTAAATGTTCAATGGCAATAAATCGTAATCTGGCACTTGCCTGTTTGAAGACGGCGTCCTTAGCGCGGGCGCACTGCAACACGTATTCTGCGTCTTCTAGCGTGTCCCAGGCGACGGCGGCGCGACGCGGCGCCAGCACCAGCACGGTGGGGGGGCGAAGCGCGGGCGGTGGTGCCGGCGGCGTGGTGGCGGTTACTACGTCGCCCCACGAGCCGCGTCCACCGCGGTCGTCGCTTGCGCGGATTCTGAAGCTGTATGTGGTGCCCTCGCGGAGTTTCTTCACCTTGCAGCTGCGCGCCGAGCCGCGGTATACGGGCCGGAACTCGCCATTGCCGCGCATCTCCACGCAGTACAACGCGCCCTCCCCACGGCTGTCCCATTCCAGCTTGATGTAATTGTGGACGAGCTGGGCGCAGCGTAGGTCCGGGGGGGCGGGCGGCCGCGGCCGCGTCGCCGCCTGCGCCTCCTCCGACCAGTCGCCGAGGCCGAGCTCGTTGAGGGCTGCGACGCGCACGCGGTACGTGGTGTCGGGCCGCAGACCCTCGACGACTTTCTCCGGCGTCGGTCCGTCGGTTTCGAAATCGGACTCGTCGACTTGCACCCGGTAACCTAAGATTTCGGCGCCGTGGCTTGCGGGGCAGCGCCAGTGGAGGCGGAGGCTTTCCGCCGTCGCCTCGTGTTTTATCCCCGTCGGCGCCCCCGGCGGAGCTCGAGGCGTTAAAAGGTCCCGGACGCCGGACCAGGCGCCACGCCCGGCCGAGTTAGTAGCGCAAACTCTGAAGAAATAGGGCGAGAACGGTACCAACTTAGACACTATGCACGCCGTCTCGGGTCCTCGATACACTTCAGTGAAGGAGTCGTCCATGTTGGTGAGGCTCATTTCGAGTCGGTAATCGGCGATGGGCGCGCCGTTGTCTCTGGACGCGCGCCACTCGAGGCGGATCGTTCGCGCATTTTCGATGTAGGCGACGGGCGTCTCGGGCGCATCTGGCGGAGCGGGCGCCGTCGAGAAATGCAGAGCGGGCGACGGCAGGCCCGCGCCCACTTTGTTGCAGGCGACCACCCAAAGGCGGTACTCACAGCCGGGTTGGAGCTCCCGGACGGTACATTCGCTCTCGAGCGCCGAATGCACGGTGCGTACGATGCCGTCCTCGCCGACGATCTCCGCCCTGTATTCCGTAAGCGGGGCGCCTCCGTTGCAGTCGGGCGGTCGCCACCGCACCGACACGAGCGTGGCGCGCGGCTCGGCCACCACTTCGGGCGCGGAGCAAGCTCCCGGACAGGTGGCTTCCGTCGTGATAGTCTCGGCGGCGGACCAGTCGCTCTCACCGGCCACGTTGGCGCAGCGCACGCGCGCTCTGTACTGGATGCCCGGCTGCAGGCGATCGCAGTGCGCCTCCCTCTCGGCTCCGTTATACGCCGACTGATATCCTTCTCCTCCGTCGATTTCCAAAGTGTAATTTTCGACGGCCGCCCCTCCGTCGTCGGTCGGCGGCTCCCACCTGAGTCGGAATGCTCGCGAATGTATTTTACCTTTCGGCGTCGGGCGACCGGGAGCTCCGGGCCTCTCGGGTAGGGTCCGATACGTGACCTCCTGCGACCACGGGCCCTGACCGTCGGCGTTTTCGCATCTTAATCTGAATCGATAATCCGAGGCGCGACGAAGTGCGGTGCAAACGTAGGAGCACTCTGTCCCGGTGTAGATGGGAAGGAAGCCGTGTCCGCGGGCAACTTCGTCCATCTGCAAGGTGAACTCCTCGTCGGCCTGGCGCTCCCAGGCGAGTGCGAGGCTGTCGGCGGCGGCGTCACGCAGGAGGGGGGGCGCGGGCGCGGGCGGCGGGGCGCCCAGGGTCCAGCCGACGAACTCGTCGCTCCACTCGCCGCGGCCGCACTCGTTGACCGCGGCGATCCGGAATCGGTAGCACGTCTGCGTGCGCAGGTTGTTGACTGTGTGCTGGCGCGTGCGGGGATGCGTCACCTCCGCGAAGCCCTCGCCGGCGTCCATCTCGAGGACGTAGTGCAGGATGCGCGCGCCGTTGTCGGCGGGGGGCGACCAGCGCAGCAGGAGCGAGGTGCGGGCGCGGTTGGCGAGGCGCGCGGGCAGCATGCGGCCGGGTGGGGCGGCCGGAGCGCGGAAGGTGGCCGCCTCGCTGGCGGCGCCCGTCTGCTCGCCCGCGCGGATCTGCAGGCACACGGAGTATTCGCAGCCGGGCCTCAAGTCTCGCACACTGAAACGACAAAGTTCTCATATTCATCAAAGTAGAAGACGGAAATGTTTCGAACTGCAAAGATTAATTGTCTAAACATCATGATATTTTTATGTATTATTGATTGTAATAATAATCGAAGTATGGATCAAACAGTCAGAAGCAAGCCAAACAGAAAGCTTTTAAATAAGACAATATACGTAAATAGAAACACAAACCGGCATGACAACGATGGTCCACTGTAGATGGCTTTGTATCGACCTCTGTCGCCCAGAAGAAGTTCGTAGGTCAATTCCACGTTAGGCAAGGAGACCCCTTCAGGCAACGGCGAGTTCCATTGCACTAAAGCACTCGTAGGCGTTATGTCGCTAACCTAAAAAAAATATTTTTTTTCGTTAAAAATATTTTAACAATATATTTTTAGTATGTCAGATTGCCAGATGTAATTTCTCCATGAATGCACTAATTACTTTAAACTTATAGTAATATTCTAAGTCAGCACTTTTAATCAATGTCAAATTACCTGTGGAGTCCGTGTAGCAGACAGGAGGTCAAGAAATGCTTGGGTATCGTTGTCATCGTCCCCTTGCACGGAGGCGCCAGCCGAGGAGCCCTCCCCCTCGGACCAGGCGCCGGAGGAGGCGCCCCCGCTGCCACTGCCGCCACCACTGCCACCACCGCGGCCGTTCAGCTCTTTACGCGGCGACAGAGATGGTGTACTGGCACCGGAGTTCATTTCTGACATAATACATAAAGTACTTTTATTATCAGTCTTTTAAAACCAAATATACCAAACACACTTAAAAAAATGAAAGGAAATTGAAAAACAACTTTGTAAAGTGTAATAGATTAAAAAGCTTTACAAGAGAATCAGAGTATTATAAAAAGGAATAATATTAATGTTTTACAATTTTTGGAATTTTTATGTTTTAGTTGAATTTGTTAGTTTATATTTTCAATAAATAAAAGTATTCAGTATTAAACATTGAAATTAAAAAAATTAAAAAATCTATATGCCAATACATCAGCGGAGACAACAAAAAAAATCCTCCCCTTTTTATATGGTTATTGTATCTATTATATGTAAACTGTATAATAATCACCTAATATATGAGAAAAAGCAAATAAACACAAACATACTATGAGCTCAAATAATTCTGATTCTGCAGATACACCAAGATTCCTGACCATATATTAATGACAGTTTCACATAAATGAATATTATACATATATATTCATAGTACTAAATAATATATAGTACTAGATATATATTGTAAAATTACTCACCAACACCATTATTCCTGTTGGTCTGTTTCCGCTCCAGCTTCTGCTTGAGTTTGGAATACTGTCGCTGTGCACGCTCATCCTTCTGGTATACAGGCGGTGGCGGCGAGTGCTGCATGTGATGCGCCGGCACATGGTGGTAGTGCGTCGGGTAGCCTGCACCGTAGAAATGCTGAGGCCCTCCCGCACCATTCGTAGGACCCTACAACAAAACATAATATTTTGAAGATTGTACACAATTTCTTATTTATTATCGCAAAGCATCAACATAAACAGTAATATTAATACCACTGTATTATTGGATTTAAAAGTTTTTTATTAAAAAATATTAAATGTATCGAAATAATAATTTAATCTGTGTTGCATCCATATGTTAGTAAAAACCTACATATATAGATTATGTAAATAAAATAAATCCTGACTGACCTTTTCTGATGCATTATTGGATGATTTATTGTCAGATGGATCAGAATGGATCATATTGTTGAGTGTTTACTGCACCGTATCTGACAACAAGCGAACGAGAGAACGTCGACGCCACGCAGCCACGTAACGACAACTCATTCGCCGCCGATAACATACTCACCGACTATCAAATAACCGATTTAACGTCGCCGCGATCTGCGATCGACCGTCACACAATACGACTTAGCAAAATACGTGGCGTTTGCCTTCACTTCATATCGATTCAATCTGCTGGATTATTCCGAGCAAAAATATTCTTTACAAGCGAAACAATCGATAAAACAACGGAAATTGTTTGCACAGCCGTTCAATACACTTGATTACACAAACTCGGCGAAAATTATCTACGTTGTTGTTACATTTTATATTACATTTATCAAATAAATTATTCTGTGACGCACAGTTTTAAAATGTAATAGCAAAATTAGTTTTATTATAATTCATAACAAATACACACTTAAACCTAACCTCCAATGTTTAGAATGTTTTGATAAACAAACAATAACACGCCACGCACGCCCTCTATCCATGCTATAGGTAAAACAATAAAACGTCAGTGGCGCGACCGTACTAATGCCGCTTCGTGCATGCAATGCGACTATGCATTGATATTAAAAACAAGCATTATTATGTTTATGTTATAGATCATAACAGTATATTAAAAGGCAATATTATAAGCCTGAGTATCGTATCGTGCATAAATATTTAAATAATAATAAAACACTAGCAAGTTAGCATATAGAAATACATTTTCATGTTTCAATTTTGGCTGGCTTATTAAAAAACTAGACGTTAATTAACGTCAAATATAACTTTCGAGTTTGCAGATGGAATAGTTTGTTTTCTTATGAAATGTTTTTTTTTTTTTTATTGGGCGGCGCTATGCCGCCCTCTCGTTCCCCTAACATGGTGGTCAGGGACCTTAGATGCGACAACAATCTTTATTTCTTTATTAAATTAAAAATCAATAAAACTTTACAAATTTCTTAAGACTATTTACAATTTCAATTTAAATACGATGTTAAAACTATTAAAATTTACAATAAAATATCTGATAAATACAATTTAAAAAATTCAAATTTAAAAAATATACAAGTTAAAATACAAATAAATTACAATAAAATACAAATAAGACCTAAACTAATACTAATTTAAAATTAAAATATACGATAAAGCCAAATTAAAATTCAATAAATTAAAATTCAAATAAAATACAAATTAAAAATTAATAGTAAAACATAAATTAAAATCCAATTAAAATATATCACAGTTTAGGTCTTATTTCTATTTATTACTATTTTGGCCAAGGATCGGCAATACTCCACGAAGTGCCCGCGTGTCTTTTTATTATTTATTAAATTAACCAAATTCTCCTCCACAATTTTCTCTTTCATTTTAATTTCAAATTCAGCTCTTTTCGCTGCAAAAATCGGGCACTCCGTGAGTATGTGCAGCACGGATTCACCCCGTGGTGGGTCACAAACGCAAGAGGGGTCCCCCTTGCACTTAAACTTGTGCAGGTATTCGGAGAACCCCCCGTGCCCAGTTAAAACCTGAACCAGCACGGGGTCCAACTCGAGGCTCCGGATTGTAGGGTAGGCTGCTACAGCATCGGGAAAGAAGAGCTTCGTCGTTGAGGCCGTGACTCCTTCCATATAACGCCTGTTCCATTTGTCAAGCGCATCCAGACGAATCTGTCGCTTGACAAATGAAACAGGGCACCTTTCATAATTAGGCTTGGTCTTCATCCCGACTGCGGCCGCCTTTGCGAGTTCATCTGCTCGTTCGTTTCCCTCCAGCCCCGCGTGCGCTTTCACCCAAAACGCTTTCACACATTTTCCTTGCTCTCTAGCCTCTTTCAAATCTTCCCTTATACCATTCGCGAGGGGATGGAGAGAAACGCCGCTTCTCAATGTCTCGAGCGCTGACCTTGAGTCGGAATAAAGACCAAAGCTCCTTTCATTGCTTCTCACAACATACTTCACGGCCTCTCTGAGGGCCAGCAATTCCGCCTGGTAGACGGTGCAAAAGCTTCCCAACTTTAATTTCCGGCAAAAGATCTCCGCGGCGCCATCCCAAACGGATAACGCCGCGCCGACTTTGCCGTCTATTTTGCTACCGTCGGTGTAAATATTTACCTCGACGGTAGCTCGCTGGGCTGCTTCGTCACCGCCGGCCAGGCAGTCGAATTGCAGACCCTCTTGCAGCGCGGGGTGCGCAGACTCTACAAACTTTACCGGCCTCTCGAGCACAAGGTCTCCCAACACCTGGTGGGTATGACCCTTTTTTACCAAGTAAAAGAGGGCCGCTTCTTGGACCCGAAGGTCCAGAGGAATATCTTATGAAATGTTAGTCAAGCGCTACTTTATCCATAACAAAATACTTACATAATGATGTGGTGGCTGATGGTGAGGCGGCTGGTGATGAGGCGGCTGGTGGTGCGGCGGCTGGTGGTGCGGGTGGTGCGCGTGCTGCGCATGCGGGTGCAAAAGATAATGCCGCAACCCCTCGTCTAGCACCGGCGGCATCATAGCCGGCATCATGGTCGCCGATGTTACCACTGGCATGCCGCCTGACAACAACATCATTCTATTATTATTTTGATACTAGTGATCCTCCCGTCAAAATTGATACTGCGGTTCCGGAGATTACAGGAAACAAACGCGGCCTTGCGGACAGACATACAAAATTTTAAAAATTAGTTTTTCGTTATTAGCAACGCAAATTCATCACCGTAAGAAATATATTTTCAATGTTACATACAGATACGCCAATTTTATTCAAACGTGTAGACAGGATGTTTAATAAATATCTACCGTGACCGTGCTCTGGCCGCAGATATCTTTTTCATATAATTTTACTAGAAATCTATCAATCAACTGTATGCATTTTACATCTACTATTATTATAAAAAAATTACAGACTTTCAAGGTGTTATAATATCCATAAGAAATGATCACACATTTGACATCTTCCCTTGTGTATCCAGGTTTGGTACGGGTAAAAAAAAGATAGGCTTCAACTAAAACATGGCGCAAATTAAATTCCTTAAACTTTGTACTGTATATAAAATATAATATCAAAAATATTTGAATATTAAGAGCTTTATGTTTCAAAAACTTAATTGTTAATGTTTTGACATTTATATTACAGTTACAGAATACAGATTATTAATGATTTTCTGTTTAAAGAGAAATTAAAAATTATCAAAGAGGAGATGTCTCTTTGAAAAAAAAGGCGTTTTATTTCAATTTAAGTTTTTTTTACTAGAAAGAACTCTTCGCAAAGGCTACCAATTTCTTTTGTTGTATTATATAACCTCATACGCTTCATTAGAAGACTGATCTATTGCCAAAGAAGTTTTCGTAAAGTTAAAACATTCAATGTAAACATTTATTTAATCATAACTAATTAAGTTCAGTATCAGAAGCTAATCTTATCGATTAGCATAATTTAAGTAAAGATTAAAATTTTAAATTATGATTTCTTCACGCACCTTGCAGCAAAAAAGTGACGATTTATTAACACGATTATTAAGTATAATTGCAACATCTTTTTCTCTTAGCATTATTCAATTAACGTTTGTAGAGATAAATTAGTTTGTTAAAACAGCAAAAACAAACAAGAAAAAAACTTATATCGGATAACCTACAATAGGAACATAACGGTTTTTTAATCTGTTATAAGTCTAATAATAGTAAAGTTAAAAAGGTGATATATGCTTGGTTTTTAAAATGTTATGGTGTTTTGTTCTTTTTAACCCAAACTTGTAATTACTAACTTGCTTGCTATGACCAAAATCTGCGAACTTATCATCATCTCTGTCTTTCGTATTTAACATAACAGAGATAGCAATATGTTTTAAATAAAAATGTTGACCTCAGAAACCCATGCTTAGTATTGCAGTGTATTAGATAAGAACGATTTGTAATGTCAATGCATTTGGGAGGTCTCATTAGTATCAATATGGAATTCAAGGTGCGGGAGACACTGACTGGCCTGTTGACGTCACGGGTGGCTGGCTGGCTCGGCCGGCGGCCGTTCCGCGCTGTGACACTCGACGTTATGAATGAACTTGTTGCGACATTTCGCAGGGAAATCAGTCGTAACCGTATAAACCATTAAACTTTTCAACAACCCAACGTTTCCGGGTACTTTTATAAGAATTGAGTACCTTTTTATATTATTTTATATACAATAAGATTCAGCGATTGGACGAAACAAGCTAACTCTTTGATTCTTTAATAATCAAGATACTAAGATGTTTGGTGATTTTATTTTTAAAGCTATCGTAATAAAGAGCCGCAAAATAAACATGTATCGCCTTATGGCCATCTCGTGAGTTGTGAAACGTAATTGTAATAATAACCCTTTTACTTGGGCGAAACAAAGAGATCCAAGGTTGCATCTGCATGCCTGGCGAGTTGCTCAAGCCCGCAACTTAATGCCGGCTGCATTAAGTTGCTCAAAAGACATAGCTCATCACTCAAGCACATTCCGATGCATCTACCCGACCTCGATCTTACCCATTGTAAACTTGTTGCTACGACTTTGTCTCTTACGAGTTTTGTTTAAGGGTTTAAAATTATTTTTGTAAGTGAATGTAGAGTTTTATCCGTTACATTTTAATGTAAACTATTTGACTAATTTTGAAATGTGAAGGATTTGACCCTTGTAATACTTCGGGAAGAATCCCGAAGTATTACAAGGGTAAAGGCATCCAGCTTTTTCAAAACATTAACTAACAAATCCCAACTGAGGAGCTCGGTGCCTACCCTAAGTTAAGGGTCTCTCGGCAACCACGATGGTTCAGTGTGGGTTGATTGACTTCACACATATCTTTGAATTTCTACTTAGATATATGCAGGTTGCATCAGGATGTTTTCCTTCGCCGTAAGAACGTCGATGTACATATGTAAATCGGAAATCGAAAAACACATTGGTACATGGCGGAATTCGAACCCAAGACCAGCAGATTGCAAGTTAAGTGCTAAACCTCTGAACCACAGATCGATATCAAGTATGTTTAGGTGTAACTTAGAAAGATCTCTTGTTATGTTCACACACATTTCAACATTATTCCAGAATACACGAGTATTTAAAGATGCATACCTAGTTAAATGCCACACTAATCAGCTTCAACTTATAATTCTTGTTATATTTTATTGTATTTAACATAAGTAATTACCATTAATGCAACACAAACAGTAGCGTGTACCTACATTTTTATGCTCGGTATAAATTATAATAATCTCGACTTTTAAAGTTGTTAAACGATCCTTAATATGCGTAGCATTTTAAAACAACTAATAAAGGTTTCGAGAGGAATGCAAGTAACAAGATAACGCCGGCAAGGTGTTGAAAATTTACATATTTATAAATAAAAATACAGTCATCGTGAAACTTAGTATAATTATAATGCAACTAAAAAATCGTTTAATTATGTTTATTTGTTATTTCTGTTTTTACATTCTGTTAGATAAATGCACTATGTAAAATCCCATGTAACGGTTAATAAACATCAATATGATCTGTTTTCATTTTTATATTTGTGGAAAAAACACTGGCATCTTTATTTTAAAAAGGTGTGGTACATCTTCCTCGTACACTATTGCGTGTTTTGCATCAAACATCACTCACGCAAAATCTCATCTTGATATCGGCAGCATGAATATCTGAGTTTATAAGAGAAAGTTATAAAGCAAAGTAACATCGCTAGCGTAGATTAAAGCATCTTTGCGCTCTGAATTTGACCTGATTGAATTTAGCTCTGACCGAGATGGTCGTACGTACATCTCACAGGATACAGCGAGCCATCAGAGTCTTTGTGATTTCATGACGCGCGAAAAATTATTCTATTCAAAAAAGTCAAGAAGACAGATTCTAGATGCCGATTTTCGGATATTTACATTTCGCAAACCTTTCGTTTTCACTCCAGCTGGTTTTAGTCACTGAATTAGGCCACGTTTTAGGTAATATGTGCACGAAGATTAACATAGGAATTAGGTACAGAAGAGAATATTTACCGTATTCAGTATGCACGGCGCACATATGCGCGTGCTGCGGATGCTGCGGGTGCGGGCACATCTCCGGTGGTACGTAGTACTCGGGCGGGTAGTAGTCGCCGTAGTAGCCCTCCGGCGGCCCGCCGCCCGCTCCTCCCCCTCCTCCCTCCGCCACGCCCACGCCCACCATGGCAGCTACAGCATCGCCCGCGTGCGCACCATTCGTGCCGCCCACGAGCGCCCACCACAACCCTCAGTCTGTAATACAAAGGCATATTATTAGAACAAACTCGAGCATACCTGTACGCGCTGTACCAAAGTGTCAGGCGCCTTTTCTATAATATAATATGTATAACTAAGCTTAGGTCTCAGTCAATCTATTAATCAACTCAAAATCGCAACAGCGGCTGCCGGGTAGTTACAACCCACAACACAAAAGTTTTGGCAAAAAATCAACTAAATTAGTATCGTCAAAGAAGGGTTTAATTTTAGTACACGCAACCAGATGACACAATAATGAATCTGGTATGTTTTAAATTGGGATCCGGAGCGGCAGTTACACAAGCGTCTATCAAGGAGATATCGGAGGATGGGCTGCGCAAGCGCATCGTGACTGTATTTGCCTTTTAAATGTGCTCCTGCGACGGCGCCGCACGAACCCTGCGCACTCTGTAAGCAATCTGTGTCACTCCTAGTTAGGGCTATCACTGACGATTATATTTATACCAAGGGATGATGAAAGAAGATCTACAAGCATACCAATCATGCCTTACAATTTTCCCTAATAAATAACATTTTGCTCTGTTCATGCGCGAGCAAATTTCGTATCACCTACGCTAAAATTAGTTGAACCAATCCATGCCACAATAACAGAAAACAAAAATTAATTATTCAATTTGTGGTATTGTTTACGTAAAATTAAAGTAAAAATGTCATTTATAATGGTTGGTTAAGTTAACGTTTTTGTTAGTTAATATATTGTTGTTTTATTAATAAACTGTTATGGGTTAACGTTGGATCAGCGTGCGTGTTTAGAAGTTGCGAAACTGCAACTAAAATAATACATTTACTCACTACCACGAAAACTAAAATAAATTTACTAATATTTACTTAATTTATGAGCGTGTAGAAATATATTTTCCGTAGTTTATGTTGTAAGACTAAAATGCTAAAATCTTACAAATATTATAAATGTGAAAGTTAAGATAGTTGAATGAATGGAAGGATGTATGTTTGAAGATATCTCCAGAACGGCTAAACGGATCTCGATGAAATTTGGTATACATATAGAACATAGTCTGGAAGAACACATAGACTACTAATTCCTTTTTTGTTTGTTGACGGGGTCGCGGGCGACCGCTAGTCTAGATATAAACAAGAGTCGAGAGAGTATTGTCCATTTTTATCGAAATTATTTCTTTGAAAAATAAATTGCAAATATTAACATGACGTGGGTCAACAATTGCATTGTATAATAAGCTTTTGGACCAAGATCCTTAGGAACTGATAATAAACGGTGGGATAGTTGAAACTACTGAGCCCTGCTATTATTTTTCTTTGACAAGTCTAGTAATGTATTGCAGCGTAGTAAAAAGCTATGGTATTACCGTACAGCCTATGCGAGTGGTTACTCGATTGCTTGTTATTACTTTAGCTTGATATCGAAGGTAACAAGCAATTAGTCCGGTAAACGCTTTCGTAACTATTAAGTAAGGAAATTACTCACATGTAGAAATTATACACCGTCTAGTTGTCAATACCCAATTAATAGGATAAAATGTTTTGCGTAAGTAACTCAGATATGCGCATTTGCATGTTGTATATGTACGTTTCACAAATCTCCTTTTAATAAGACACTTTTAAGATTTATATTCATACAATATTTATATTCATAGTGCGTAGTTTCACCTATACTATGATAAGACAAGGTAGACAGACAGGGAGATTAATTATAGGTATCTCATTTTGTAATACCATCATTTTTAAAGTATGTACCTATACAATGTACATGTTGATTTTATGAGCTAGACTCTACTATTGAATGTAGCCCGACGCCGATTCCAAGATGGCGCCGGCTCACTAATTGAATGCCCGTAAACTTTACTAGAGCCGTGTTCCGTAACTTGATGCCAGCGTTCCCAGACATATTTGATGTAGCTAGAATTATTTCAATATGGTTTTGATAAGAGCACAAGCGGTTTTAGCAAATGGACAATGGAGTCATCCCTTCATTCTGTTTCAAAGAACACGAGTTAATAATGAAGTGTTTTTGTACAAGATTTTGCAAGATTGTAGGAGAAGTGATAAATTTGTTTGAACTTTGATTTTAAAGAACGTTTACCTACTATTATTTATTATGACACTAATGTAAATGATTATTTCGTTAACTTTCCCAAAATTGGAGACAACTTGGCATTGTTATCCCCATACGTTTCCGACCACCCGATTCTCCTTCCCTCTCCGGAACTCATTCATATCCGCCGTTTATACAGATAACTTAGAGCAATTTAACCTATACTTTGACAATTTTACTTTAGTATACAAACGTAAGAAAGTGAAATATTTGATTTCTTGTTTCCGATTTACTCAAAAAATAGTAACACATTAATTATTATAATATTGATTTAATTTCTAAACTGATTGTGAGGTTATTCGTAAAAGAGTCAACATGGTTTCTAATTATACCAAAATAACATATAATAATAATCGTCATAAACTTTTTGCCAAAATGCATATTGTACGCTATTGATTATAGACTAAACAATAAATTCGCAATAATCTGCGGTGACGTAAGCAGCAATCATTCGGCCTCAATGTATTTGTGCAGTAATTGATCCGATGCGGGATGTGTGTCACGCTATCTATCGATGTATTGATAAGTGCGCACTAGGTGCGACGCTTTGATAATAAGGGAACGTATCACAGTTATTGACACTATAAGGACACTAGTACTGTCGCCGCCGACTAAGTCCACGCGGAGTTAAAAAACTTAATTAATAGCATATGTCTTCTTCCAGGATATGTTCTAGATCTATGTCAAATTTCAGCGAGATCCATGCAGCCGTTTCGACCACGTCACCACATAACATCAGGTGGATCGTGGTCTACCGCTAGCTTATTCAATATAAAAAAACCATCCAACCAAACACTCACATTTCTAAAATCAATAAGATTATAATGTGAACGGTTCCGTGATAGAATTCACCTTGGTGGAAACTTCCAGAATATCAAGTACAAGTGTCCAGTACTGGTGATTTCACCTGACGATATAGTAGATTGTGGTATGAATGTCTGCTACCCTTGTGGACGTCTCATCGGCTCTATTTACATAACAACGCCGCCGCCGCGCCAACTCCGCGTTTATTCAATTGAATGCTATCCAGTGCGATGAATGGTCAGACACTTGGTATATTAAGTGTAGGAAGCGAAAATCCTCGTAAACTACGTCGTATCAGACGTCTTTTTACGTGTGTTATCTGTACGTGATACACTTTTAGTTCGTAATTGCTGTAGAAGTATAGATATTACAATAAACAATCCACTGCACTAAAAAACAAAAACCTATTTTGTAAATTTTTGCCAAGATTTGATCCTGCATGAAAGTATTTTTGATATAATTTCTTATTATTTATGTTTTTTTTATATTTAAACAAAATATCTGATATATTTATTTACTTAATATAAAATTGTTTTAATAAGACATAATACTCTACAACGTCTTTGATGTTGTTTATACATTCTACTATTGGTTTCGTATTTCGAATCCAAACTTACCAGTTACCGTGTACAAAAAATTCCACGACTGTTAGTCATACTCGTATCACGTACAAAACATTATGTGTATATACTATGAGTTTATAAATGCAACTGTTATAAGTACAATAACCTTACAAGGATTATATTTGTCGTAATAAAACCGACTAAGGTAAATGCTTTTTTCCTTTTAAAATGTTCATCTGTGGCTGTCTTTAGAATCCCAATGGACTCATCTCTTAAATAGCGGTCTGTTGGGTAGACACTATATTTAAGTCATAATCGTCTTTAGGTTTTCGTACCTCGAAAAGAAAAAAACGGAACCCTTATACGATCACTTTGTTATCCGTCCGTTTGTCTGTCAAGACCCTTTTTATAACATGGAAAATCTAGAGTAAAACTTTCTACGGAACAGAACCGTGTTTGACGTACATACTGACGTGCATGAAAATTTTCCTAAAATAAAAAAAAATAATCTTCTATATTAAACTTATAACAGAATATGGAAAGTACGGACTAAAAGCACAATTAAAAGTTAACGACTTGGGACGGTTGCATACAGTTTGATATATCAGAGCTTGTTTTTTTTCTTAGAACTATCAAGATACGTTAACAGTAAACAATTCTGAGAATTTATTTTATGTTTTCCCTATCGGTGAGCTATTTCGAGAGTAGGCAGCAAGCTAGATATTGACGCACGTGCAAAACAAAAGCCATCAGAACAATTAAAAAACTTATCGAAAGGAAAACGAAAAAGTTAGCGAACGTACTTGGATATTTAAAGTATCATTGCGAAAACACGTTTTCGGATTTAATTTCACGTTTTCTCTCGACAATTGGTTATTGATTTAGAACTCGAACTTTTAAACTTTTTATAAGAAGCCTTTTAATTCTGGGTTTACCTTACTGAGGTTTTATAAACTCCGAGGTTTTTTCACAAGCCGTTTACGCAACTTTACTGTGGGTTCTAAGTTACTATGTAGCTCTATGTGAAAATAAATAAATTGATATTTAGATTGTAAGCATCATTAAATAAATATAGATTATTAAAACTACCGGTATTTCCAAATGTCGAGACGTGTTAGCTGTTAGAATAAAGGACGTTATCTGTGCGTCGCTCTCGAGACGTTCGCAGAATTCATTTGCATAACTAATGCGGACTATAGCGAGAATCGCCCTAGCGCCCTGTCGCTACTCGCCACATCGTCACATCGCCGCCCTGTCGCCATTCCGACGCATAGTTTTAACACTAACTAGTAGGTAAGGACTTTGGTTGAGATGACGTCATATCATGTGTGTGTCTTTTTTTTATAAAATAATCAACGAAACGGTCGATCAGTTATACCTATGTGAAATGTCTTCATATGATTTTACCAAAGTATGTAAAAACGTTAAAAGTCATCGTTCCTTGTTAGAATGTTCCTTTAATGAATGTAACACAAGTTTTTTGTTAGTAAGTTCTTAGGATTTAGATTTAAAACTCAACATATCAAATATATTAAACT